CTTGCTTTGAATGAATGCACCTTCGCGATCACGTGACTTGTACCTTCAACCTCAGAGGGCTCCTACTGTTCTTATCGTTTGAAGTTCGCCGGCTTTCACAACCAGTTCCCTCTATTAACTCTGCTGTAAGTCAGTTTGTTATCAATAGTCACCCCAAGAATTTTAAGCGAGTTTGACAATTCTACCTTAATTAGAGTCACCAATGAAGAATTCAGGGACATAAGCGTGACTACCAAGTATCATACCTTGAGTTTTAAAATGAGATAATTTTAAGAAATCCAGGTGACCAGGATGTCAAGGTCTAGGTTTAACGAGGTTTCCAGAGTGATGATGTCCCGATTAGATGCATAAGTTGTCGTATCATCAGCATATATACCCAGAGATGAGATTTGTCCGTTAAAGTTTAGGTCATTTCGAAAAACATTAAATAACAGTGGGCCAATTAAACCGCCTTGAGATACGCCGCATTTGACTGGACGCCCTTCAGAGAATATACTATGAAACCTGACCCTTTGTTGACGATCAGTCAAGTTTGATTTAAAGAAAGCAATGGCATCATAATTAAGACCATAGGCCCGCAGTTTAGCCAGTAGTAGATTGTGGCAGATCGAATCAAATGCTTTAGAAAGGTCAATAGCAATAGCTCCAGTTATTTTCTTAGGGTCAAGAGCCAGTCTCCAATCATCCACTATCGTAAGTAAAGCAGTGCAACAAGAATGGCCTCTCAACAACCTGGACATATTCAGTGAGAACTTGGACTTGAAAGCATCGTAAAGTTTGTCGTACATAACTTTCTCGAATAACTTTGGGATGGCAGACAATGTGCTAATTATAGGAGGCAGTGTGGCCGAGTGGTTAGAGTGTCGGACTCGTAATCCGCTGCTCCCGGGTTCGAGTCCCACCCTGACCACTAGATTTGTTTCACGGTAGCCCCGTGTTCAGATCCTTGGCCACGCTTGTAAATAGCCAACTGGTTTGCCTCCCGTCGGTTGGGGTTCTTAATGATGTTATGTTCAATTTAGACCATTTGTTTGACTTGTTTGCAAGGACCACAATGGAAACTACTGGTTCACCAGTAATTGTGTAATCCTATAAAAAGAGGTTTTTTTTTTTAATTGGTACGGTAGTTATTTTACAGATGAGGTGTCATCTTTTTTGTACACAGGGCTGATATGGCTTCGTTTCCAGTCTAATGGCCAAGAAGACTTCGTTATGCAGTAATTTATCAGTTTAGATAGAGGCTCTTTAATTGTTGACGCAGATAACTTGAGAATTTTTGGCGGCATGTTATCAGGGCCACATGATTTATTAGTCATGAGCTCGCTTGGTAATTTCCCCTTGTATTCAACACTAACGGGCTGAAAGGAAAATCCTGAGTTAAAATTTTGCGAAGAGATAGATATTATACTTGGATGGTTGTCAAATTCTTCTAGTGAAAGTTCCAAGGCATCCTGAGAAAGTGCGGGTGTGGCAAAAAATTAATTGAACAAGTTTGCAGGCTCATCAATAACTACTCCCTCATCAATTACTCTTATTGCTTCCGTAATTGTATTTGTAAGACGAAAGCGATCGCAAAAGTCAGAAAGATGATTGCCGGTTCGGGTCATGCAAATTTCCATCAACATGCAAATTTCCATCAACACAGTTCATCATGTCAATATTGAAGTCACCAATAAATACAAGTTCACTTCTTATTTTTAGCATATTCTCGGCTGCAATGGAACAAGAAAAGATGATGTCATTAACTTTGCATTTGTTGTGTGATCGATAGCACGCACAGGCAAAGAATCAAGTGTTATTTTTCCGCTAAACACTTAGACAGATAGATTCAACTCCAGAAGGTTCAAGTTACGGTTGCATTGTAGCTTTAATAGAATTGTGGGTGTAAACCAATAAACCGCCAGCACCCTTCTTTCTGTCATTTCTTATTATACGATAGTGTGGACTTGAGAGCAAAGTTGTTGAGACGATTTTGTCAATTTTTGTTTCTGAGATAAAGAGAATATCAAAGCGGAATGCAAGAATGATTCATGCAGAAGATCCAATATTTCGTCTATTTTTCCGAGGATGAGCAATTGATAGGTTTTCTTGTTGTAATTACGGATGTTTTCGTTGTACCAATCAAATGGGGAGGATGATTGAGACGACAGCGAAGTAGTTGACAACACTGAAGTCGTCCGGTTTGCAATCATGATCTGAGTATTGCATGTAGTTAGAGAAGAACGGGTCGCTAAATTGGGCAGAGCACAAAATGAGCAGGACCAACCGATTCCAGGATTCTTTAAATAATAGTTGAAAATAGCCCAGGACATGCTAGCGCATCTAACATGACTCCAAGCGATACACGAAGAACACAAGATGACGTCTTGGTTGTTGCGAACATTCTTGTTACATTCAGAGCAAGGAAAGCTCGTATACAGAGTCCTTTCCCTTGGGCCAGGATTTTCAAACACATCGCCATAAATTATCAGTTTTCTTTGGAAGTTAAAAGAACCTGTGGCTTTGGATCTACAAAGAGCACGAGAGCTCAGGTTACGTTTGGCTCGAGAGTCGACAACAAGATTCGAATTGGTCTTGAATTGTCGCGTCGAAGACAGCGAAATCTAAAACATATTGAGTTAGGTGAATTCCTATTCACCAAGTTGAGTGAAAAGCAAAGAATCAGAAGTACAGGCAATCAATGGAAGGTTTTGCACAGATTTCTTAGAGAGCAGTAATGAACGTGACCGTTTATCATGCTCCATATCCACCCCTTCCAATTCTATTTGATTCATTTCTCGTTATAATCATTTCCTTAGTCTAACAAAACTTATTTTTGTAGCTTCCTTAAAAAAATTATAACTTTTCATCAATTACAAGATAGGGAATTACTGTGGTGCACTAGAAAAAGTCAACTGGAAAGAAATGGAATTTAGAATCGGTGAGTTAATAGAAACCTCTGAAAAGCAGCTAAGATTTGACGCATTGATCCAAAAGGTTTAATTGATTTCCATATGATATACAACTCCTTTCACCGAACTTCTGTGGGCTTAATTTACATATTGTTAGAAAGATGAATGTTACTGATGACACGGCAAATGTCCTAGTGGAGGATAGTTACTTCATCAGGGTTAATTATCATCAACAGCATTGCAGGTCCCTAACCGAAATGCATTGCCTGTGTTATTTTTGTTCTCCGGTGATGATTTCAGGCCATTTCGTCGAGTTTTTGCTTACATTTCAGTTACATTTTCAGCTTACATTTTAGTACTACCTGTACTAAGAAATAAACAATTCCAAGTTTTGCCAGGGCCAATTACCAAATTAATGAAATTTCCCCTCTATCAGCATTTAGAATTTGTGCCCACCGTGTCACAAATGGTTAATTAAAAGAGTTTTAATGATATCCTGTTTGCAAATGTTCCTTCTCGAGGCCGACTTAAATACCATCTTCGAAGAGTAGTATTGAAAAGCCATGCATGATTAAATGATCAAAACTTGGTGTAAATAGGTACGCGCATGCCTTCAAATCTTAGACGATTGAGTTTCTAGGCACAGCTTTATTAAAACTAAGACAAGCCATGTTTGGTCATTCCGAGTTGTAAATTTGACCGTTTTATTCTGAAATGGTATCTACCAATTATTTACCGATGCTGAGGTGTTAGCGACTCGGTAAATATCCACCAATTTAACCCATACTTAAATAAATAAACAAGTGTTTTACCGTGTAACACACAGAAACCAATATGTAAGTGTATTTGTGTTAGTATACGGAAAAGTGGTCTTGGCTTGCGGCTTTTTCTCTTTGCATGATCGGAGGTGAGTAGAATTTGCTAATGACTTCATTACGGGGTTAACCGATAGCCGTAAAACGACCAAAAATTGTAGCCGTTTGGCGTTAAAATGGACAAATTCTAATTGATAGTCGTAAAAGAAATTAACTGTCAAAAAATGTCTGTTGACAGAAATGGAATGATATTGACCGTTAGCCGTAAAATGGCCAAAATTTCAACCGTTAACCGTAAAAAGCCATTACCCCATTGAGACCCTCGACTATAGCATCTACATGTTAAAAACACTATTTACATGTGTAGTATGTACTAAGTTGAATTATTGAGAAATTAGCTGCTGTACGCAAAATCCACATTTAAACAATGTGATTGATCACGATGTCACCAAGTTTAGTTCCCTCTTCGTATTAATACATTTGTAGATTTCGTTACATATGTTGACGTGGCTGAATGATATCCAAAAGAAGGTTTTATGCATGTATGTACAATATTATCGGGCATGATGTGATTAATACTTTAAAAAAGGAATTTTTTAACAATAATGATACTGTTAATAATTATTATCATTACTGGATTCTTTAAATAGTACTGATTGGAATAAAACTGATGGTTGTCAAGCAAGTGTACAATAGCAAACCTTTCAACACAAGCCACGACCCTACAAAAAAAAAGGCTTTTCACCGTGATTGAACTGAGCACAATGATTGCGACATATACTCTAGATCTGTTATTAACGGAATGGAATGAATTTGCTTCTGATAGTGTTAGTGCTGAATGAGGCACAAGTCAGAACAAAATGCGAGACCCTTCATGATAAGTTTACAACCTATGAACTTGCGCTATCGCTCGTGGTTGACTAAGCTTCTTTTACTGGGGGCAACGTAGTTACGAAAATCGTCGTGCGTCCATGGAAGCCAACAACTAAAGCTCTGCCTGGGTGTCTATGACTTAAAATGCTTGACAAACTTATAGGCTTTACTGAACCGAAAGCCAATGTTCTGAAAATGCTTTTTGCTCGTAGTTCCTTTCTTTAGAAGTATTGTACTAAACGTGGCAACTCGCTGGGTCTTTCAATAAGCTTCAACCGTTATAGTTAATACATTTGATTTAAACGTACGTAAAAACTAAACCGTACACATCAGCTTAAATTTCCTGCAAAGTTGTAAGTAACTCACGACAGCTCCTTCTCTAACAAAACGACCCATGGCAATATGACGTGTGCGCAAAAAA